GTGTGAGTGTGTGTGTGTGTGTGTGTGTGTGTGTGCGTGTGTGTGTGTGTGTGTGTGTGTACCACAGCATCACCGGTGTCTGGGATAGGCACTGATTTCTCCAGCAGCTCCACACCAACATTCTGCAAAACACACACACAATCAATCAATCAGTCATTTGCAACATAAAAGTGTTAGATTGAACTTTAGCGTGTCTGCTGATGATTGACTCGTTCAGGGATCGATGTGTCGTGATCCGCAGCTGTCTGTCTGTCTGTCTGTCTGTTGCAGTAATGAATAGATTATTGCAGATGTTCTCCAGAGAGCTCAGATGTTTCTCTCTTACTCTAATACGCGGTTTTAATCTTTTAGATTCCCAAATATCACTCTCCTCATGTGAAGGACCCCCATCCTAAAACTGAAAGAGGCAGCTATATATTTTCAAGCATAAAGACCCAATTTATACAGTAAAAAATTGCTATCATAATTATGTGTAAAATATTATTTGGAACATATTTAGTTTCCATTACATTGTATAATTATTTATAAAATTATTTTTTTTAAACATTATTTTCTACTCAATATAGTAATGTACTGTTAGATTTATTTAAAAAATATATTTATTATTTTAATACATTTTATTTTAATGTGTATTTCGTTTAATCGTATTTATTATTTTTTGTTTATTTTACATTTATTTAACTTTTGTTAAACATTTATTGTTTTTGTCTAAACTTTTCCATGGACCTCCTGGGCCCCAGTTTGCAGACCACTGCTCTAACACACCCCTCATCTCTATTCAGTTGATCTCAGTAACTCTATTCAGTGATTCTGTGTGTGTTGTTCTTACCATGGTGTAGTTCTTCTGAAAGACAGCGCCGTCACTGCGAAACATCTGACACAGTGAGCTCTTCCCCACCGCCGCGTCTCACACACACACACACACAGAGAGAGAGAGAGAGAGAGAGAGAGACACACACACACACACAGAGAGAGAGAGAGACACACGAATTTATATTAAATCATAATCATACGCATAAGCATGCAAACACAAACAAAGCGCTCTTACCCACGACAACACATCTGGCTCTTAATTTCACCATCAGGCAGAGCTGAATAATATTGAACTGATTTCAGATCAAGCTGAATGTGTGTTGATTATCACGGAGCTGTTTCTTCCTTCCGCCACGGAAACCTGAGCCTAAAGCGTTGCTTAGCAACTGAAATAAAGCGCTTCTATTGGTCTGAACGCTAGTCATCTGAGCACTGCGGCCATAGATGTGTGTAACTAGATGCAGCCCTGATAGCGGCTGTTTCCGTCCGCCATATTGGAACGGTCAAAGCCCCGGTCCGTGAACACTGGAGCGCGAGCGTGTCTGCAAGCAACCTTAGTTATACGCATGTATGAATGTCTATATCTGCAATAGACTTAAAGGGGTCATATGATGCTTTTTTAAAGATCATTATTCTACTTTCGGAAGGCCAAATAAAGTGCTTTTGCTTTCGCCTAGAAACACACAGCGTCTCCCTGACATGCTGCTTCAACAATAACTGCGGTTACTGAAACCACGCCTTCTTTCTTTGCGTGCACATTTGGGCGCATTATGCAAATATTTCCACATAGTGAGGTAGATATGTGGGGGCGTGTTAGAACGAGCCATTTTAGGGGGGTGTGGCAGAGTCTTAACTTTGATAAAGAATATCTCTTTGGTTTTGAGACTTTAGTCTTTGCAACTTCAGGGATCTTATCTATTCACAATCAGCTTGTAACACTCCAAAGAGAAAGGAAACTTGAAATCGCATCATATGACCCCTTTAAACACAATACAAGATGAAGCCGTTAGCTAAGATGACATTTAAAAGGTACTATAGTTTAAAAACCTGTACTGTTGAGTTAATACATATTAAAAACACAAACCAACACATTCTTGTGAAAGTTTATCCAATTTCTTTAGGATCATCCAGAGGCTGCTCAATGCTGTGGCATCTTGAAACATGTTTATTTTTATTGTGAGTGACGACATATTGACCGTTCCAAGATGGCGGACGCGCCTAGGCGCTTGGAGCGGTCGAATTTGGATTCTAATTTTGTTTATTAATCCGAATAAACGCAGTTTACGCACTCGATGATGATTTTACTACAGTAAAAAATAAATAAAATACACTGAAAAAAGTGGTGTATCAGCCATTTTCACTCAGAAACTACTAGTAAATTTCACAGACAGAAGCAATACTGCTTCTATAAATAAATATAGAATTATTATAGATACAAATATAGATTATTTGCAGCTTCTAAATTAATTTTACAGTGGATACATTAACTTTAAAATTAAATAAGAACCAGATTAATGAATGAAAATATAAATAAATAAAGCACGCGCCTCACAAGCCTCCTCTCCAGAGCGCGCAGAGGACGAGAATCAGCGGAGACTTCAGAGACAGCCAGAGCCGTACCGAGAGACAGAGACAGAGAGAGAGAGACAGAGACAGAGACAGAGAGAGAGAGAGAGAGA